GTTCATTACTTTAGTTACAGTTTTCATTGAGTTTTGTTCTGTGTTTTTTTTTTGTTAATCAAAACCCTATAAAACACATTGTGAGCATTTAAATAGAATAAGAAGACTCAAAGTAACCTTTGAAAAAGTTGATCGTTTTTACTATCAAAAATGGCCAATGCAATGGCCATTCGGGTGAAAGCATTTGAAAAGTGCAAATACATCATAGTTACCGATGAAATTGTGTCCAATTACGAATCGTTTTTAAGACACGGTAAGTGCATATTAAAACACACCCTCTTTCAATTTGATGGTTGAATTTTATTTTGGTTTCTAAAGTTATGCTCAGTTTCGAGCTCGATCCCACACAAGCGGCAACAGCATTCATTTTCGATCAGGACAATTTTGAGATTTCCGCCGACATATTTCCCACCGTCATTCGTCAATTTACGAATCCAGCTGTTTTCATCCAAATAATTTTTGATTTGCATGAAAACACCGGCTTCGATTTGGTAAGCGTTACGTTGAAATCAAATTCAAATCCAATCATATGTCAATGTGCATTTATATAATTGTTGTTTCAGAGTTTGGAAGATTTCTTAAAAAGAAATGGATGTAAATCCATTCTTTTGTTAGCAAAAGAACATGAGCAATTTGATGATGATTTTTTTCTATATCGCATATTTCTATCAGCTTGAATAAAAATATCAGATATTCTTATCTGATATTTTGTTGCATTCACCAAGCAACACGTTGTTATCCACTCACACACATTCATTGCTGCTGAGTGTACATCGCTGTCCTCTAGGTGTCCCATCCATTGAACAAATTGTACAATATTAATATTTACACGCCATTAGTTTTCTCGATCTCTTTTTTGCGCGAAAATACAAATTTCATTGTATTTCTGATACTATAATAAAGTTGAATTGAAGTTAAAACCCTTCGTAAATTCATTTTACAGCACTTCACAAAAATGTTGGTACTTATCTCAACCCTGAAATCTGAAGTCGGCGGCAGTTTGGGTATACATCCCATTTTACAGCACTTCACAAAAAAGTTGGTACTTTGGTTCGATATTGCATTCTCACTCTACCAATAAGTGGATTTTTCTTCTTGGAATTGACACGCAGATGGAATAAATAATCTGTCCTTAAGGTGTCCCTTCCATAAAAGCGACTCTACTTACCTAAAACCATACGTAGCACCATTTATCATCATTTTAAAAATTTTACCATTTTATGTCAACTCTAAACTTTTAAGAATTGCTTTTTACTGACTTCCGGTCAAGATTTTTCAAGACTGGAAGTCTTTTTCTTTAGGAACACTTCAGGGACAATTATTATAAACCATGGGATGCCTAACAGAAGCAACGGGTGTCGTTTTATTCCATATGTGCGGTAAATTGGAATGGCTCAAAAATTGAACCTCAAATTACGAGGAAACCAAACTGGTACACATCGTATTCGACTTTGGGACACTGTAGGACACCCAAAGTACAACAGATATAAACATATCTCAACCCTGAAATCTGAAGTCGGCGGCAGTTTGGGTATACATCCGAGCAATTGGAAACCAATCTGGATACAAAAAATATAAATTATTTGGCCGAAAAGTTGATCCAGTTCATGGAACATCGTGAAGCACTTGGAGAAAAAGTTGATGCTAAGCAAGTTGCCGATGCTTTGATACGATTAATGCCCTGTATTACAATGGTACTACATTTCACTTATTTTAACTATCATTTGCAACTTGACTATAACAACATTTTGGATTTCATTTTCCTTTTTAAAACAGGAATCTTTGTACATGCCAGGATGCAAAAAAGGTGCGCTTTATCATAAATTGTATTACAAGCGATATCATAAGGATAAACCAAAACCTAATCACAAAGGGAAAAACGCTGACAAAGAGAAGGATGCATCGAAAGATAACGAAGTGGGAATTGTTGAAAAGGCATTCCAGAAACTGTCACTTGAAGAGGAATTGGCATGTTTGGCGTACTACAAAACCTGTATCGTCGAGCGGGATAAGGAAATTCTGAAAATCAAAATGAAACAGTCAATTTATTTGCGGGAGAAAGTCATCCGGAAGAGGGAAACAAAATTCGTCGAATCATTTCCATTCTATTTCGTCTCACCAGATTTGGTAATGATTTTTCGATTTTCTGTTTTTACGGTCATTAAAGAGCCTTATTTTTCTGTATGATTTCAGATTTTATATGATTTTGAAATAAGGTTTGCTGGCGGCAACCACTTGCTAGAGAAATGGCCAAAACTTCAGTTGAAGCTTCTGAGCCTTTTGAACAAAAAAGAAGCCGAAGAATGTGCAGATTTCGGTTTTGATGGTATGATGACCTCTTTTTTTATTTTGCTCCGTGCTCTATCAATGAAGAAGTCCTTTGCAACGAATGTGGACAAACTGATCGTTTATTCTGACGTAAGTTTCTCGTTTCTTAAAATGTTCCGCGACATAAATGCATCACATTATTTTTCCATCGCACAGAATATTAATGGCAGCCCCGATAATTTGATTGTGAAAAAGAATATTCATCCGTACATCATTGCTGTGGGTCCCAAAAAGAATGATATCTCAAACTATTATATTGACGTCGAAGAGCATTTGATACCAGTAATTTATCTTTTAAATCGATGAAAAATTGGAAAATGAAAAGAAAATGAATATTTTTTACAGATTCCGAACGGTTTCAACTCTTTGAAGGTAATCGATATGCTATTCAAATGTCACAAAGTATTCCATTTGCAATACAATCCAGCCTATGTGAAACTGATGCATTTTATTGACTATTTTGTGTTTGATGATAAAGAAAATGCGGAAATCGACGTTACTGTTTCAATGCGGAAGATTTCTGAGAAACTTAATGTTTCCGAGCTGAATGAACGTGCGATTAATCCTGCCTTGGAGGAGGTGAATAGAGATTAAATTTCAAATAGATAAGAATATTTCTTTCTTGTAATGAAAAAAGTACAATTCGAAATGTGATAGGGAAAAATGTGTAATTTTGATTAAAACAGAATGAATACCAAAGTATGATTTAATATATATGCCCGTGCTGCTAAGAAAAGGAGCCTTTGCAATTTGACATTACGATGAAATCTACAAATAAAAGTTGAAATTTCTAATGTGTTTTTGTTACGTTGTGTAAAAATATGGATAAATGATATCAACTTGTTCTTATTAAATTATTTTTCTATTTGTATTTAGTACGCTTTGAGCACTACTCTATGCCATATTTCAATCGCATAACTCAAGCTGGTGCAGGTCAATTTCTTAGATGTTCTTACCTTCTATGCATTCTAATAGTTTGACCATTGCAATCTGTGAACTAATTTGTAAGAAATAAAATGGCAATAAAAACAACATTCAATGTGAAGCTTAATAATAATCAATCAATCAACATTAGTTTATTGAAGTTTAAATAAAAATTGAACCAAAATAAAAATGCATACAAGTTTCCCAAATGTTGACTTTTTTCAATGAACAAGATGGTTAAACAATAGCTAATTTGAACAGATTTAAAGTCTCACAAATAACATGAATATTTCCTCTAATCAAACATTTCTGATAAGTTTGCTTATTCAAAATATCACTCATATTCAATGCATAGTTGGAATGTTCATTAAAGTCAAGAATTAAACTATTTGTAAACAAATCAAGCTCTTTAACGCGGTATGAGTTCTCACATAAAAAATGGTAGCTATCTAAAGACTTTAAAATCATATTGATTTCAAAAAACAGTGAATTATGCAACAACAATAAACCTGGCTTAAAAATTATGCTATTTAATTTCAATGTTTTGATCACTATTTCATCTCCTTTGATCGAAAGTGTGGGAGACGATTTGAAGAACTCATAATCATTGGTGTTTTCAAATAAAGCGAATGTTGAACCGACTTCAATTACATCACAATATCGATTTTCACTTAAACTCAGTAAGGTCTGATGTTTTTCGGCTATGGTTTTATTCAAATTTTTAAAGTTATTGGTGTTTTGTGCAATTTTTTTCAAGTCTTGGTGCTTCGCTTCGAAACGCATTGTTGATGTGAATATAGGCGGACCCATTGATCGAATAGCTCGCACGTAGTGAGTCAAGAAATGGTGTTTGGGAATCAGGTCCTTCTTCACATCATTAACAATAAATTTGGTATGACACTCAATTGATGATTCCAATCGATTTAAATCACTTTCAGTGATTTCTTCGCTGAACACAATTTGTAATATTTCAAGCAAACTTTGAACCAAATTCCAAATGGCTTTTAACTTGTCTATATATTCAATCAATATAAATGGAATGTTCTTCATTAGACAGTGAAGTTGTGTGGCATTTTGGCCAAGATTTTTGCTAATCATTCTCAATTTCGATGGAATATTTTTCTTGTTTAAAGGCCCATAGTTAAAGCATTGAATCATATTCTGCAATTCAAATTCTTTGAACAATTTGTTTTCAAAGCAATAATCGAAAATAACGTGGAGTGTAAATGGTACAGCTCCCTCAAGCAAATCGTGCAAAATATCCACAGTATAATTTTCCAACATGTGAAAACTTTGAAGATCGTTTAACTTGCAGTAAAGTCGTACTCCTTTTGATTCAGTTGCATCCAATTCTTCTTTTAAAAGACGTGCGCACGTTTCATTATATGAACCTGACTTTCGTAATTTGCTTGTATCTTCTTTTGACATAATTTTGCACTCTTCTCTATGACATTCGCAAAAACGGCAAAAGTAATTCGCTTTGAAAGACTGCACGAGACCATAAGTAGCATTTCCACCCAAATTGTCGAAAGACATTGCAAACAGGCAGCCCTTAATGATCTTTTTGTTTACTGCAACACCAACGGTTTCAAGAACTTTGAGATCATCTGTTATCACTTCAAGGATATTGTGAATACTTGCGGAATCATTTTTGAAATCGTTTGAGTCAGACAATGCTACTAAGTAGATATTGGATAATTTTGATTGTAATTTTTTGGGAATGTTCCGAATAATCATGTAGAAGGCACATTGTTTATGTAATCCGGCTTTGGATTTCAATGCATCACACGGTTCAAAGTCATCAGTGTACAGCTGCAATCTGAGAGCGTTTGGATTTTTCTTTAAAAATGCATTCTGTTGCGAAATGTTTCCACAGCAATAATCTCGATAAATTCCATTCTCGCACCCATGTCGTTCATTTTGTTCGTACATTTCCACAAATTCAGGATCCGAAAATATTGCTTCCACAATAGCCGTTGGTGGAATAAACTGGAATGTGTTTTGTTTGTATTGACGAATTACGTTCCCACTCTTTTCATCAACTGTTTGCACCCATCTGAATCCAATTGCTTTTTCTACGGGCGGAACAAAAAAATTATGTTCGCCGATTTTTTTCTTTCGCTTATACGCTGAATCATGTGCAGCGA